GTAAACGCTGACGCGTTAAGCAGATACCCTCCGGTATCAATAATACAAGTAAACGCTTCACATGAGACAGACAAGACAAACGAAACGGAAGAAGAAGAAGAGGAAGAAAACGAAGAGGATACAGACAGCTATACTGAAGAAGAAAAAAGACAAATCTTATATGAGTACAATAACGCACTATTAGGAGGACATCAGAGTGTACAATGTACATTAAATAGAATACGCCTAAAACACAACTGGAGAGGAATAACAAAAGACGTAACACAATACATAAAGAAATGCGAACTATGCCAAAAAAAATAAGCTAAGCCTCCAGAAAAAAGCGCCAATGATTATCACAGACACACTAAACCATTCGAGAAATGTGAATTAGATATAGTAGGACCTCTCACCATGACAAAAAATGGGAACAAATATCTTTTAACATTCCAGGACGCTTTGATCAAATTTAGTAAAGCTATCCCTATATCGAATCAAGAAGCGATAGAATTCACCGTCGCGATAGAATTCACAGAAAAAATAATATTAGAATACGGAATACCAGAAAAAGTATTAACAAATCAAGGAACAAATTTTCTTAGTAAAATTTTCAAATCGGTATGTAAACTATTAAAAATAGAAAAAATTCAAACTGCAGCATACCATCCGCAGAGTAACGGAGCATTGGAGAGATCACATCGAACACTCGCGGAATACCTTCGACATTATATTAATAACGACGAAACAGACTGGAACGAATGGATCCCATACACAATATTTACGTACAATATGAGTCCTCACTCTACAACAAATTATACTCCATTTGAACTGATATACGGACACCAGACAACCTTACCATCATCCATATTAGTAGCGCCAAAAACTACGTATAGTATTGAGGATTATGCACAGGAGATAAAGCAACGGCTCCGAGCAACGAATCAAATAGCCCGGGAGCAAACGTCAAAGAAGAAAAAGTAAAAAATACTATGATCGAAACACTAAAAAGAATGTACTAGATATAGGAGATCAGGTACTATTACATGACGAGACAGTACGACGAGGAAGATCAAAGAAGTTAGACGCTATGTGGATAGGACCTTACGAAATAATCGAAAAACACCCTAACGAGAACTATACAATAAAACGCGGCTGACGAACATTTCATACGCACGCGAACCGCATAAAATTATATTTAGAAAATTAAAAAACTCACCTAAAATTCGGCATACCCCTGCCACGACCATAAAATTCTGACCCGAAGGACGGTCCGAGAGAAGCTCCCATTTGGGACAAAGGTCCCAATTCAGCCCTACCATCATCGTGGCCCGTCGGAAGACGACGTGCCTCCGCTCCGTATAAGATCACCGGCACGTCGGGGGACGGGAAATGTTCCGTAGGCAGAAAGAATCCGGAACAATCCGGACAATCCCACTGAATAAATAAATAAAAATGTAAAAATATCACACTGAAAACCGTACGTAAATGAAAAGTACATGAACTTAAAAAACGCTACCGCGGAACACATAAGACAGGAAACTCTGGCAGGCGACATGTTATCCTAGTGAAGAACTGAACTAAGACTGAAACAAGTAGCCCCTCGCGAACAAACAAACACCTTAAAATAAAAGAAGGAGGCAATTTTATCCTACGCGAAACGCGATAGGAAAAGGAAAAAGATATCATATTTATCTAAACACATGACCCCAATACTTACAGGGCATTCAGTCTGGTAAGAAGTGCCAGTCCCAGGATAAATGGGCCGAAATTAGAGACCATATGAAATCAACAAGTTCACACACACACACACCTGGTATATATTACGATACACAAGCAACTACACCAAATAGCTTCAACATGAAAAACAGTCATTAAAATGGATATACATACAATAGACATTTGACGTAACAAAATATAAAGGTACCTTGATAGCACAGAAAGAATTTGTAACCAAAAAAGAAGACAAGCACTATATGGCAAATGTGCGATAACTTACGTGAAGTAGTACAGAAAAATCTAGATCGTATACACAACATGACGGAACTAATACATAGCATATACAAAACTCTGACATACGCAAAACGAGGAATAATAGACGGAATAGATACAGTAGCAAAATCACTTTTCGGTATAATGGACGCAAACGATAAGAAAACGATAAACGAATAATTAAATCTATTAGATAATTTCTATTAGAAATCTATAATAAACAAGAAATTCTGCAACATGCGATAACGAATCAATTAAAAATTATTAATACAACAGTCAACCACCTAGACAACCTCGAAAAAACATTGGACACTAATGAAAAAATAATATAGAATAGCATAACGCAGCTCATACGAGCGAAGCCGGACTCACACTAAGGCAACAAATAGACGAACACTTTACTATACTCAACGCTTTACTTGACGATCTAATACGCGATCAGGATGACATAATCAATTATCTAGATAAAATAAAATCAGGGAACTTACCAACAAGATTAACACCGATAGACAGCATCGTATCCCAACTACAGGAAATATCAATTCATATACTAAAAGGCACACACTTCCCGTTTACACTTAAGAAAAAAAACTGGTTAGAAATAGAGAAATTCTGCATAATTAGCGCATATTATAGAGATAAAAATATCTTTACTATTTTAAACTTACCTCTTATAACTTATCCTACATATGAAATAATACACATACACCCTTTTCCTGTACATAGTCGCGATAATATTTTTGCATTAACTGATATTACACACCAAAATCGCAATTAGTCAAGAGACAAACACTTATCTAATATTACATGAAAACGAACTAGCGGAATGTATAAAATTTAAGAATCAGTATACTTGCCCACAGAGAAACGCAATATTCAGAATTAATACAGAATCACCCTGTGAAATTCAAATATATACAACATTAAGGAGCATAAAAAACTGCCATACAAAATATATTTCAGCTAACCATACCTTTATAATTGCTTTAACACAAAGAAACGCATGGTTATATTCTACCCGTAGCGAGCAAATCGCTCACATTCAATGTCGGGAAAAGATATTTTACAAAAAAATTAACAAAACAGGAATTATAAACATTAGAGATCAATATAGATTAACAGTTAAAGATATTATATTACAAGCGCGAAGTATCATAAGAAGCATTTTAATACAAACACATACCAAAATACAATATAACATTAGAACAAGAATACATAAACACAATTAAAAATAAAAACGAAATACTGCATGTGAAACCAAGCAAAATAATACAAAATCCGTCGGAATTAGCGGAACTCAATAATAAGATAACACAAACATATAATTTAGAAAATAGATCGAACTCCTTGACGCATTATAAAAACATAATATATATTAGGACCTTAACTTAGTTTCCGCCCGCAAATGTTAGATGGCAATGCAAACAGTTCTAGTAGTCATTACTAACGAAACAGGTAGTTTGTGATTAATTTCGACATTTCTCGATAACATTCAGTCAGCATACACAATTATTTTCCTAAACAACAATTTCTTTTGCTTTGTGAAAAATGGAACGCGATAAAGTGTTTTTTCGACATGTGCTTTTGCACTATTTTGATTTGAAAAAAA